GTCACTATCTATATAGGCAATCAGTTTATCATTTCCGCCCTTTCTATATAGTATCCCAAAATCAGAAGTCCCTTTCAAATACTTCAGCACTCTTTTGGCTGCTTGAAGATGAAGCTCTGTGGGACGATCCATATACCTACTAAGAAGACTAACCACAAACATAATGTCGAGTCGAGTAGTAGTCAAATNATCTCCATTTCCAGCATCTGCATCACCAACATTTGCATCTGGTTCTTTGTCATTGTCTCCCAAATCCAAGTCAGCCAAAATAGCTTCCTCATGACTTTTGTCCCAATCCCAGTTGCTGTCTTCTTCAAACACCACATCTCTACTTACTATAAGCTTTTGAGAAATGGGATCATACAACCTATATGCCTTTGACTTCTCACTAACTCCAAGTAAAACACATCTCATACTCTTGTCATCGAGCTTTGTCCTCTTGCAATCAAGAATATGAACATAAGATACACACCTAAACACCCTGAAGTGATCCACAGATGGTTTAAATCTGCTCCAAGCTTCTTCTGGAGTTTTGTTCTTCACTGCAGGAGTTGGACTCCTGTTAAGAACATGAACTGTCAAATTCAAAGCTTCAGGCCAAAATGTTTTTGGAATCTTCTTCTCTAAAAACATACTTCGAACCATATTCATGATAATTTGATTCTTTCTCTTTGCACCACCATTTTGTTGAGGAGTGTATGCGGCTGTTAATTGTCTTCGAATACCATTCTCACTACAAAAAATAGTGAATTCAAGTGATGTGAACTCACCCCCACAATCAGTACAAAGACATTTTATACTCGAACCAGTCTCATTTTCAACACGATTCTTATATTTCTTGAAAGTAATAAATGTTTTTGACTTCTCAACCAAGAAATAAACCCAAACCTTTTGACTATAATCATCAATGAAACTAATCATGTACCTTCTGTTGCTGTTGGACATAGGGCTAATTGGTCCACATATATCAGCATGCACCAGTTCAAGAATCTGAGAAGCTCTCCATGTGCTTTCCCTAGGAAATGGATCTCTCCATTGCTTTGCCGCCAAGCAATCTTCACATACTTTTGACAAGAGTTCAAGACGAGGTAGTCCTCTCACCATCCCCTTTTGTAGAAGAATTTTCAGACCATTAAAGCTCAGATGACCATGCCTGCAGTGCCAAAGTCGAGCTGGATCTTCCATGAAAGAATTGAAACAAGCTTCCTCCTTCAATTGTGTTTGAGCAAACAGTTTGAACATTCGATTTGAGGACATTATAACCTCCATAATTAGCCCTCTCTCAGGATGTTAAATTTTGCATATTCCTCGTTGTATGAGGATTGCAAGTCCCTTCTCGGCCATCTGACCAATGCTTATTAAACTGTTCTTTAACCCTGGAACATAGAATACGCTAGTAATAATCTGTACAAAACCATTCACCAGTGTTCGCACTTTACCTTTACCCATCACTTCCGTGCTTGAATTATCTCCCAATTTCACACTCTCCCTGAAATTTCCATCAATATCTGAAAAAAGTTCCCTCTTGTCACACATGTGATTGCTGCATCCAGAGTCGAGATACCATAGTTCTTCTTTGCTGGCTTTCTTATCATCCATGTACGCCATCAACAACATTTCTTCATTACCTTCTACATTGTTTGCTCTTCCTTTTGCCTCCTTCTTTGGACATTCATACTGAAAGTGTCCAAGCTTATGGCAATTATAGCATTCAACAGTGGATTTGTCAAAGCTACGCTTGCCTCCTCCTCTTCCTCGTCCTCGAATTCCACCACGACCTCGTCCTCTTTCTCCTGAAGACTCTCCAAAAGTAACCTTTAATGCTTGCTCTTCCACAACATGAGCTTTCATACGTTGCTCATGTACCAGAAGACTACTTTGTAACTCATCAATGGTAAGAGCATCCAAATCATTTGACTCCTCAATAGAACACACCACGTAATCGTCCTTGGGTGCCATGGATCTTAGAATCTTCTCAATGACTGCTACATCGTTCATCATTCCCTTATTGGCCCTTAGCTTGTTGACCACAGCAAGAGTATGAGCAAAGTACTCATTCACAGATTCTCCCACCTTCATGTTCAGCATCTCAAACTCCTTTTGAAGAGCTTGTCGTTGCGCTTTTTGCACTCGTACTGTCCCCTGATACTTTTGCTTCAAGGAATCCCAAATGCCTTTGGTTGTATCTTTGTTCAAGATGGTCTCTAGAATCGATCGATCTATGGCCTGGAAGAGATAATTCTTTGCCTTCAGATCTTTCAACCTTGCATCATCCATCACCTTCTTCTCTGTTTCAGTGGGTTGAACACCTTCTGCTGCTGCTGCAGGAATCCCATCTTCCACCAAACTCCAATATTCTTTCGAGTGCAAGAAATTTTCCATGAGCATGCACCAGTGATCGTAATGCCCATCAAATTTTAGAATTTTTGGTTGCATAAATCCATTCTCAGTCACCTTATTCTCGTCACTACACACCTTAGAAGACTGCTGCTTNTGAATTCTGTGACAACCTCGTCCTCTTTCTCCTGAAGACTCTCAAAAAATAACCTTTAATGCTTGCTTTTCCACAACTTGCGCTTTCATACGTTGCTCATGTACCAGAAGACTACTTTGTAACTCATCAATGGTAAGAGCATCCAACTCATTTGACTCCTCAATAGAACACACCACGTAATCGTACTTGGGTGCCATGGATCTTAGAATCTTCTCAATGACTGCTACATCGTTCATCATTCCCTTATTGGCCCTTAGCTTGTTGACCACAGCAAGAGTATGAGCAAAGTACTCATTCACAGATTCTCCCACCTTCATGTTCAGCATCTCAAACTCCTTTTGAAGAGCTTGTCGTTGCGCTTTTTGCACTCGTACTGTCCCCTGATACTTTTGCTTCAAGGAATCCCAAATGCCTTTGGTTGTATCTTTGTTCAAGATGGTCTCTAGAATCGATCGATCTATGGCCTGGAAGAGATAATTCTTTGCCTTCAGATCTTTCAACCTTGCATCATCCATCACCTTCTTCTCTGCTTCAGTGGGTTGAACACTTTTTGCTGCTGCTGCAGGAATCCCATCTTCCACCAAACTCCAATATTCTTTCGAGCGCAAGAAATTTTCCATGAGCATGCACCAGTGATCGTAATGCCCATCAAATTTTGGAATTGTTGGTTGCACAAATCCATTCTCAGTCACCTTATTCTCGTCACTACACACCTTAGAAGACTGCTGCTTCTCAATTTCAATCAGCTCCCTTGTGATGGGGCTCTGATACCAGATGTTAAGAACCTGTTTGCTTGGTAAACATAAAGAAAATTGGAGAATGCTTTCTTATTTCATTACCCAACTTGATTGGCTATATATGTAGCCTTACAATAACAAAAAAGAGAAAAATCTGCAGCCCACACTTTTCAAGCCTATTAACGTGGTAGGAATCAAAACAAATAACTTATCCCTAAAGAATAGGAATTATTCAAAACAACTAACATAAACAAATTCTAAAGACTCGATCAACACTAACAACTTCAACAAACGCAACCTTAGTTTTAGTTTTGATTTCAATCTCAATATCAAATGCAATTTTGATTTGAATTCATTTTTGATTCTGACTTGTGATTTCAATATTGATTTTTGAGTAGGTTTTATCATTTTATTTGTGATTGTGATTTCAGATTTGTTTTACAATTGGATGAGAATTGGATTTTCAGGTGGTGGTGTTGGTGGGTTTCATGAACTTGGGCTGAAACTTGACTTTTGCAATATGGTGTGTGTGACTATGTGTTGTCTGCACGGAGAGAGAGAGAGAGAGAGAGAGAGAGAGAGAGAGAGAGAGAGAAAGAGTTTCTTATTGGGTTTGGTAATGGCAGAGAGAGAAAGATAGTGTCTGATGTGTTGCTTGTGTGGGTAAGTACTTTGTGGGAATGAGTTGAGAGAGAGAGAGATANAGATAGTGTCTGATGTGTTACTTGTGTGGGTAAGTACTTTGTGGGAATGAGTTGAAAGAGAGAAAGAGATATAGAGAAAGATGCTTTGTTAGGTATGACAATGGTAGAGAAAGTTTGTGTTTGTATGGTGTGTAGCTTTTGTGGGTGAGTTTTTGTGTGTGTATGCTCGTGAGAGAGAAAGAAGATGAATAGGAAAGGAGAAGAATATAGTGTGTTTGAGTTTAGGTTTATAATTGTTCAAAAGATGAATAAAGGTGTTTGGATGTGGGCTTAGAAACAATGACTTAATTACCCTTAGTATCAGTCACGTCTTGACTTGTGTTATTTTTCATCAACAATTTAGACGAAAGTTGGTGAAAGATTTTACTAGTGCAATGTATGAATTTTGAAGACTAAATTGAAAGTTTAATAAGCGATAAATTTTAAGGATTATTGGTATAATTTATGTTTTATTGAAATAAGATATCACGTGATGGTGATTACTTTCTGTCACAATTATATTTAAGAAAATGCTATTTGAACTTAATTTGGAGACTTAATTTAGGAACCTAATTCAATACAATCATTAGATTGATTATGAACTTCATTTAGTATTGAAACTCACAACTAATCTAATGATTATATTGAAGTCACATCATTAGGTCCCTAAATTAAGCCTCTAAATAAAGTTTCTATAGCATTGCTCTTATATTTAATATTTTCAGTATATGGTAATTGATTTACTAAAGAGGAGAGAATAGTATCGGAGGGATTGGAATCCTAAACCTATTAAAAAAAAGAAAAAAAGAAAAGGGTACATTGGTCATTCTGACGTTATNCAAAAGTTGGGCTCTGTTATCCCAAAAAAATACTTTCCAATGGTGGAGTGTAGGGTTTAAGACGTGTCGTCGACTTTTAATGGATAGCACCTCACATACCATAGATTCGTTTCATGCAAAACAGAGTTCAAGGGTCGAAAGTAAGTTGTTTAGGGTTTGTGCACAGTTCATCCTTTGTAATTAATGCTATAATGCCTAGCGAGGTTAACCTTAGGTTACTTGTCTAGGGACTTCATATGCATCACNGCTAAATCTACTCTCTCTCTCTCTCCATCGGTGAGAAAACTTGGTTGTATATTAATCTCGGATTGAATTATAATGATTTTCAATTAATTGTCTTCGGTTGTGTTGGTGCAGAGATTGGAGTGTTGTAAAGAAATGGCGACGGTAGCGGGGCAGCTGATATGGGAGATGGTGAAGAAGAACAACTCTTTCTTGGTGAAGGAGTTTGGTAATGGAACTGCCAAAGTGCAGTTCAGCAAAGAGCCCAACAATCTCTACAATCTCAACTCCTACAAGCACTCTGGTCATTCTCTTATGACATTAGATCATCTTAGTTTCTAATCATCCATTTGAACTATCTCTGTGCTCTGTTTGGTTACGCGGGAAACTTTAGATCATACATTCCTTTGGTTTCCGGGAAAACATGGGAATTGAAAACACTATAAATGGATTGTGTAAGCTTACTTTGTCTTAATGTTAACCCAGAAAGCCAAATTTTCTATATTAAACATTTTGTGGTACTGTGATTTGGCTTAGTTAAGCAGTGCATTTCAGTGTCATGGGTGTTCAGTTTTCAGAAAAAGGGAATATAAACTTTGTATTCATTTCAAGGTGAAAATAGTGCTAAATTGAGATTTAATTTTGATCTATACTGTAGCAAATGGTCAATGGAGTTTTTAGGGTTCTACTTCTGTTGGATGGGATTGAATTGAAGTTTGTATGTTTCTGTATTCTAAATTTTCTGTTTTTTGATATTTTTAGGGTTGGCAAACAAGAAAACTGTTACAATTCAACCGGGAGGCAAAGATAACTCGGTGGTGCTTGCAACGACAAAGACTAAGAAGCAGAGCAAGCCTGCTACTTTGCTTAACAAGTCTATCATGAAGAAGGAGTTCCGCCGCATGGCAAAGGCAGTTTCAAACCAGGTAATGAGTTTGTTAGGAAGCCATATTTTTCATGGTTTAAGTTGTCTATATTTTAATGTTACTTTCTTAAGGTGTTTACATTAATTGATTGTTAATGAACGAATTGTGGATTCATTTGTGTTTATATTTCAGTGATTGCAATCTGTTATGCAGTTTCACACTCCTGGTACTGTGTTTGTCAGGGAATGGTGGGAACATTGAGAGCTATTAGTATTATTAGTTTTGCGGATGGAATACTAATATTCTCATGATATATGTAACTCACAAGTTGAGCAAAAAGTTGGGCTCTGTTATCCCAAAAAAATACTTTCCAATGGTGGAGTGCAGGGTTTAAGACGTGTCGTCGACTTTTAATGGATAGCACCTCACATACCATAGATCCGTTTCATGCAAAACAGAGTTCAAGGGTCGAAAGTAAGTTGTTTAGGGTTTGTGCACAGTTCATCCTTTGTAATTAATGCTATAATGCCTGGTGAGGTTAACCTTAGGTTACTTGTCTAGGGACTTCATATGCCTCACCATACTGAACCTTTAGGTTCGACTTCATTGCAAGAGTTTTAGTAAGCTTGAGCTACTGAAAAAAAGAGCTGGCACACACCAAGTCTTAAGGTTGGGACTGGTGAACCTTTACTTTATTTTTGTTTTATGTAAAATATACTATATGATTGGACTAGCAGCCATGGTTTTGTCATTGTTAATTTGGCCACAACTTGCAGTTATGGAAGTCACTAGATGCAATAGTTCTTGGATGCTGCTTGACTTCCAGTGGTAGAACTTAATAGTCACAGAGCTCAGCGCAGGACCTTTGATGAGATTATTCATGTTGATTGGCCAATTTATGTGTTTGCTTCTAACTTATCTCGTGCATTTTTTTCATTTAAAATTGTGCTGGAACCTTCTTAATATTGTTTTAAATTTTTTACCTTGGCTTCCGGGACAGGTTGACATTTGACTCCTATCTTCTAAATGAATAATGAGCAGCTAATATGAAACAATAATCCTATTAGTGGGGTTCTTTAATGAAATCTGTCTTTAACGCCAGACTTCTGGGCTCTACTCTGTTACTGCTCTAGTAATGCATGTCCTGTCTATTGCTAGTGATGGCAGCTGAAATGGTTTGGCTTGATTTGAAAGATGTGTGATTGCAAATGTCATCTTAGAAAATGGACGGATACTTTTTATTTTGATGATCTTTGTTGTTTTCGCCGGTGTTCTCGGTTCTAGTTTATGTGTTTTTCCTTTATAATATACCTCTCTGGTGTTTTTCAAGAATGTGATGTTCTTTGAGAATGCTTCATTTTTCTCTTCAATGTTTTATTTATCGGTACTGCAGGTGGCAGATAACTACTACAGGCCAGATCTGAAGAAGGCAGCCCTTGCAAGGTTGAGTGCCGTGCACAGGAGTCTCAAGGTTGCAAAATCTGGTGTCAAGAAGAGGAACAGGCAGGGTGTTAAGATCCGTGGTAGGAAGTGAACTTGAGGAGTTCTTTTCCATTTTTTGGTTCCGTCATTGTCTTGTCTTCTATGCATCCTAGAGTACCAGAGCTACCCATTTTACTTGTTGAAACTAATATTAGTTTGAACACTGATAGTATTATATTTTTGGCCAAGAGCCATGACATGCTTGGGTTTTCAACTAGTTTATTTCTTATGGTGGGACTTCAATTTAGTATCATGAAAGATGATGATATGCTATTCATATCTTTTTGATTGTTGATTGGTGCTCAAGTTAAACATCCATTATTTTTTTTGTTGGTACTTGGGTTAATTTGCATGAGTTGTGAATCGAGTTCCTTTAATACGCCCTACTTCATTCTTAAAACGTGCTCGACTTCAAGCCTTTTGATGGAATGGTTGGTTATGCTGTTCACTGATGTGGTTTTGGATGCTCCCTTTTCTCAGTTCCCTAATTAGAGTTTGTTGCTATCACTACCTAAAGCAACTCTCACTCTCACATTGCGACAACTACTAATTTAGTAGGGTCGTTGAGTGAGAGGCACCAAATACATCAACCTGGCTCGGTGTCGATGAATAAGGTACTTGATATGGAATCACTTCTCCCATGATGCTAACTTCAGATAATTGTGCTTCTCTCATTTGATTGGAGTCTTCTTTATATATATGTATATGTATTAGTTATTGTCTGTGTCTAAAGGCACAAAGTAATAAAAAATTGTAAACATTAAACATATTTGTATTCCTATTCAAAATTAAATCACAAATATAGAAGAGAGATAAATGAATTTAAGTATTGATTGTAGTGGAGGTGAGGTGGTGGGCGGTAGTGATGGTGATAGGAAACGGTGATGGTTGTGGTGAGTGACAATAATCATGATGACAGTGGTGGTGACAGTGGTGACGACGACGATGATGGTGGTAGTGGTGGTGGCGGTGGTGGTGGTGGTGGAGCAGTTGTAAATACTTTTTTTTTTAAAGAATTGTTGAGAAATAATTTTTACAAGTATTTTTAAAAAATTATTTTAAATATTCTTTTAAGGGTTTTTTTTTTTATTAAATTTATGGTATTAATATTAATCGTTAGATTAATTTTAAAATAAAATATAAAATAATCTCAATCACAAATAACAAATGATATTTGAATTGTTAAGTACTTTATTATACAGAAGATATATGTCTACTTTTGCGAGTTGGTAGTTTTTATAGGGAAACAAAGCTCATGTTCATGCCCAGTTTCACCTTTCCCAGAAAGTGGTTTCTACTTTTGGTAAGCAACCCAAAGTGAAACTGAAAAAAGTAACGTGTCAATTTCTTTTGGCTGCTGATATTTCTACCTATACTCTCACCAACCATTCAAAAACAATGAACTAATAAGCCTCTCAAACTGCTTGTGTTACGTAATTCATACACTATTTTGTTGTTCTTCCCACGGGGTAAAAAGTTTAACACGATCTCTTTACTTTCTTGTCCATTAAAGGTATTGATGACAAAAACAAACACGAACACCTTGTAGCGTGGGAGATTTTGTCAGGTTTTAATTTAATTAGGTCAAATTCTCGTGAATTGAGGTCAATGAGATCAATTCATTACCTGATCTAGGTTGATTCCAATTTTTTTTTTTTTTTTGGTTCAATAGTCAGAGGTGTTTGAGTCAATTTACACGCATCTCAAATAATTCTCTTTCCAGTCTAGTCAGAAACAACATTTTTCATATCAGAACTAGAATATTCATAAAGAATAAATTTTTCTTAACCTGATCCTAAAATATTGTTAAAAAATTTTGAACTCATTAGGTCATAGTTTTGATCTCATTAATCGTAATTTTGATCTTATACAATCACAACTTGTTTTAAATTTTAGGGATATTTGAAGGCTGATTCTTCTATATGGACTTATTTGGAGATAAGTCCGTCAAGAAAACTTATTTGGTTTTAAGTCCGTTTTTTGTCAATTTTACTATTATAACCCTTCCTTGTATGAATGTTATAAACGACGTTTATAGACACAATAATTAGTCATATACATCTCCTTCATAATCGCCTTCAAATCCGATTACAATCTTCTAAATCACAATGTTTCTTTATCCGAAAAATGTTATCCTAAAAACAAGAAATTGATATTTATTAAAAGTAGTTCATATTCAAATTTCAAACTCATTACATTCCATTAAATACAATTTCAATTTACTATTCTAATTTATTTTGGACTCCATCGACAAAATATTAATGTTAAATATTAATATTTAAAAAATAACAATAGTAACATATTTAATAAAGACAGTAACATAATCACTAAAAACATAATAACACGCTCACAAAAAATAGTAACATAGTAAAAAAATAATCACAATTAGGGATTTTAATACTGTCAGAGTGGGCATTAACCTTATAATTAAGATTCAAAAGAATTCATACATTAGTACTAAATTAAAGTATTATGCTCCGTTTGGTAGGGATGATGAAAAGTATAAGAGATACATTTTCCTTCATTTGTGTTTGATTAGATGGATGAAAAATAAAAATGACTATTTTTTTTTTTGTGCTGACTAAGATTAGAGGTGATAATCGAGTTGAATCGTGTCGTGTCAGATTTATGTTGAGTCATTACGAGTTTGTGTCAAATATTAGTCAAATATAATTTAACTCATTTAATTCATTGTGTTGTGTCGAATTACGAGTTGACCACTTTATTTTCGTATCGGGTTCGAGTCGTGTCATCGTGTTGAGTCGAAAATTTTCAAATTTTCGCCCTTAGTTAAGATTTATTTTTTTTTTAATTTAAAATTTAAAATTTTTTTAAAATTTTTTAAAAATATATATACATATTTTACTATTGTATTTTTATATGAAATTAATGTATATATAAAATATATTAACAAATAAGATACATCTCAACACAAATAATTAACTTTCTATCCACTTTCCTTCTAATTTTGAAGGGATTGATTTTGATGAGTTGGAAGAAAAATTAATTCATCCTTCCTACTTTCCTTCGTTACCAAACATGATATTTTATTTATCCTTCTAACTTTTCATCCTCCCATTTTTCTATCGTAGCAAACGGAGCATTATAAATTTCGATTTTGTTAATTTTTTTGTTACCCAAGACTATTGAGTATTGATAAAGGGCAGTGATAAGTTCGAACTTCGACACCTGTTTTTTAGTAGCGTTCAAGTATTTTAAATCATTCCCAGTATTCAAAAAATTAAAAAAAAAATTAGAAATAGCAAACTAAGTAATAAATAACTTAGCGAACAAGCACATACAGAGGGTTCTTCTTCTTCCGTGCAAAAAAGAAAATGTCAAACCTAAACGTGCACAGTACCTAACAACTCGCGGTTTTAGAATAAATCCAAGTCAAGATTACAATGTTGATTAGCGTATTCCAAATGGGTGACATAATAGTCGACCAGTATGTATACCTGTCATTTTACCCAGAAAAAACTTGGTCACAACTCACAAGACATATCAACCACCAATTTTTTTATTTTTTTTTGGTTTCATGTTTCTAGATTTTTGGGCCGATTACTNACCTGTCATTTTACCCAGAAGAAACTTGGTCACAACTCACCAATTTTTTTATTTTTTTTTGGTTTCATGTTTCTAGATTTTTGGGCCGATTACTCGTTATAGTTTTGAGATCGGCCACCATAACTCAAGAATAGTGATTAACCTTTAAAAGATGTAAAAAATATCGAACATGAGAATTATATTAACACCCGATTAGATTAAAAGTTAGTAATTACAACAAACAAATAAAAAAAAAACCAGCACAAACGTCATATCTATTGTCATTCGTTCAAGTGATATGTCGGAATTAATCTCTTTAAAATATGAATAAGATAATTTATCACTTACTCTTTTTTTGATATTGTTACAACTGAGTGTTTGATGTTAATTGTTTATCATTTACCTCTTTTACATCGGCAAAAGTCTTATGTACTAGATATTACTTTGAATGATATTTCACCAATTATTTTATTATATTTTCATCCAAAACAAAGATTAAAAACAAAGAATAAATGAAGAATTTTCATTCAAAATATCCAATAATATATATATATATATACTAACAAACGCCCAGTGTGATGCACGAAATTTATATCCCGTCTTACTATAACTGGTTCTTTCTCACTTTTCCTATCGCATATGGGTAGTTCAAAAATTATAAAAATTTATATGGATTGAAACTGAATTTTTTTTTATTTTTAAAAAGAGTTTAAATGAACGATGGTTAATTAATAAAATAGTGAAAATATGGTTATATTGGCTAAGTATTGATTTTTGATTGGAAAATACCTAACTTTGTAATTAATTAAATATAAATTCTAAAAATTAAGGAAAAAAAATGGTATAGAAGCCTTTTCAATATGTTTTACATGGCGCCTATGTAAAACAACACGGGTTTACAGGCTGGAACTTTTGAACTATAAGACTAGTAAGCCTAAATCAAAAGGAATATGCTGAATAAGTCTCAAGTCAATGAAGTTTTTTGCTACACGCATCAAAATGCAGCCTTCCTTCTTCCTAAGCAAGTTTTATGTACCTATAAATTTGAGGAAGCTTTAGAAGGAGTAATTAATTTGCAGAGAACTCCATAGACATGTCTGTTAAAGAAGCTATTGCTCCTCCAAGCGACGACGAAGATGTGAAGGATATGGCTGCTGCAAAACGTCTGCGCTCTGACAGTTGTTTCTCCTTCATGGAGATCTCAATGGAACCAGGGATTAAATCATTGAAACAACTTGATTCAAAGAAGTTCAAGGATGAGATCAAGAGATGGGCTAAGAAAGTTGTTACCTATGCTCGCCAGGTCAGTGATCACTTTGGAAGCTCTCGTCGCTGATTAAGACCCTGTTCATTTTCTGAATGATGATGATGAAGAAGAACCCAAAATCTTTTGTTCAATGTCATCATGACTTGCCATTACAGACTGCTTGCTCGATAAGTAAATCGATGCAAAATCTCAATGAAGTCCTCATTCAATCTGAAAACTGGTTTGGAATGACGAAACTGGATGCTGCAACAACCAATTTATGCATGCTGCCTGAACCATCAGGGGGTGTTAAAAGGGGTGGTTCTACATTAATGTGAAAGTTTGGTTTATATCTGTAAAATCTAAAATGATCCCACTAATAAATTACAAATTTCGCAAACAATGATAAATATTTTTGGTTCTCTCAAGTTAACGAGACAAAAACTCAGTTTGTGATGCAATTTTCTACAATGATGCAAAAAAACTTGTTTGAAATACCAAAACTCGTTGGCTGCAAAAATGCTTCCAGCACCAGTTTCTATCTCTGGTATATTTTCTGTGAGATGCCTACACATTAAAGGCGGAATTGAAAAAAGTTCACATGACACCGTGTAGAATATCCCTTGTCACTCATTTTTCACCAATTCACTGAACATCTTTTAACCACCTGAAATGCTCCTCAAAAGCTGCTTAGAGCACATGTCTTGTGCTTGAGTTGCGTTCCTCATGCGTTTTGCTTTGACCCAAGCAGGTTCCTGTCAAGGAAGAAAACAAGATTAAACTCCTCAATTTCTCATCAAATTTACATCTTCAATTTTGGACTAGATGGAGATTGTATACCTCAGGGACCATGTGAGAGAAACCAAACTTAATCAGTAGGAGGACATGTTCCATGATGAGAATTGCTGCAAGTCCGGGTGAGATTTTCCATTCCCCTTCCTCATCATACAAGCATACTAACAGAAGGCAGTTGGTGCATATTGACATCACTATAAGAAACTGAAATTCAAAATATGGCTCCATTTGAGTAATACAATTGTTAGTGACAAGTAAATAAGGACCTAAAGAAGTCAGTACAATTACCAATAAATATCCTAACAATCTGAATTTATTTCATTAACTGCAAAACAACTAATATGTGTCTAGGGGTGATCGCTTCATATGCTTGGTGCCTAAAACTTTCTACTGCATCACAGTCGAGGATGAAAATTCGTTTTAGCTCCACCAAAACACCCAAAACATTTCAAAAACATACTTAAGCCAATAGACGTTGACGTTCTTCAGTTTGGAAAAGAACCTATTTGTTAAAGCATCCAACCCAAAACCAATTGGCAATGGGTGGAGTGGCTTCTCAAGTACATAAACCAACCTTGGTGGTCCTAATTGTTCGATGTGGGATACAAGATCTCTTAACACTATTGGTACCTGAAATATGTTCAACCAAGCTCCAATTGTTGCAGCAGCACGAGGAATGGGCCGTTTTAACATGGCAAGCAGCTTTAGTGCATCTGTTCTGATTTCCGTAATGTTATTCTGCACAAGAAAAAAAAAAACAACTTAAAAAGCTTATACAGTCATTTGTTTCTCCAAAAGAAAGCAGCTAAAAGAAACTACTGTGAAAGAAGCTAAAAGAACAACTATAAATTGTTACCAATGCAGCAAAAACAAATGCAAGGGGGAATGCACAAGCAAACATCATGATCATTCCGAACTGCAATGCCAACTCCAGAAAGTCTGCAGGTGGTTTGTTTTAAATCAGCTGAATCAAAGCAATTGATTTAAATTTCCAGCTATGTAACTCATAACTAATGGAAAATGAAACGGCCCCAATACTATCCCGATTGACAAGAAGTCCCATCATTAAGGATAACCAAAAAATTTGCAAGAGTATTATCAAATACCACATGCATTATCATTTGAAATTCAATGTCTAAATTGTTTTCATTTCAAGCCACGTTACTACAAGTCATCTGAACATGCTCAACGATTGTCTCANTCAAGAGTATTATCAGAGAGATTATCAAATACCACATGCATTATCATTTGAAATTCAATGTCTAAATTATTTTCATTTCAAGCCACGTTACTACAAGTCATCTGAACATGCTCAACGATTGTCTCAGTTAGCTCCAGAAATAATGTAAGATGCCTTCAATTTCATAGGGCCTCCATTTCTTTTTTAGAATCTCATGTTTTCAGTAGCATGAATTTGGACATTACCATCAAAAAGCCCATCTTCAAGTTCCTTGCCAATGCTTGCTGAATAAGCAGGTTTAAGGTACTCTTTCTCTACCCTAGACATGGACTGGATCTTCCCTGCTGATGATCCTTTCTCATCTTTTCTCTTCTTTCTTCACATGGAAGCAATGGAACAGATAACGTTTGAGTTATGTATGAGCAAGGCAGAGTTAATAAATCAATAACCAAAAAATTAAGGTGCTACGGACTAAGCGGATGAAAACAACGAAAAAAACTTACCGAACAGCTTTATATTTTTTGTAGCTGTATTTTAGATAAGGTACAGAATTTTCCATCAGATTTTCCAGCACCTGGAAAACATATTTAGCACAGTTGTACATATGTCTGACAACAGAAGCAAACTATAGTTAATGTAGGCAATAAACTTTTACTACCTCAGACACAATTAGACGCTGAATCAAAACTTGGCGAAGAGTTGTAAAGTTGCGGTGCAGGAGTGCATGGTAAAAGAGTCCTATGTATGACTGCATAAAATAAAGACCAAACACCTGCAACACAGTAAATCATTTAAGTTTTGGTAAATCTCCCAGACCCATGTGGGATTATGGAAATTCCAACTCATACCTTGTAAACCAAGCTATCAGCTCTATATTCAGTACTTCTATTGTTTTCATATTTAACGAGCTTCACTGATATCTTGCCCCCAATTTTTGTAAAATACTGAATGGTGAAAAGGTATGCCGCAGTCAACCCAAACCTAGAAACAAGAAAATGAGTTCAATTGACAACAATGTTTAGAGATGACTAGTAACACATTTGAGCGTTTATGCTTCAATAAAAATGTCTAACAGTACTGCAGTCGCAGACCATGCCTGCAATTGAAACAGACAGAATATCTAACTCTGCTAGGGAGGTCTTCAAGACTTCCAGTCCATGGGTGTCTCCAAAAAAAGGAGGATTAATAATCCACAAATCACAAGGTGCCCAATTACATGGAGGTAAGCTGTTGACACTGAGAGGTGCATGTAATGCCTTCTCTTTACTCTGCAGCATGTTTCTTTATCTACTGGAACAGCTATCAGTGAAAACAAATCACTAACATTAACTAAGCGAATGGCTGGCTGATCCATCTGATGCTTTGAGTATTAACTCCAAAAGTAATAGAACTATAATATAATACATTACTGGACCCAATGTATGTAACAATGCATCAACTTATAAGCATATCAGGATGTGAAACAAAAGACTTACTAAATGAGTTTAAAGGCTGCACTATTGGTCACCCAAAGCATAAACCAAAAGGTTAAACCAATATATAGGGAAAGAAACATAGTTTTTGGTTGCAGATCCTAATATCTACAACAGGATAGAGAATAAAACTATAAAATAAAACATAAACACAAATCATCATAAATTGGCCTTACTTCATAAAACCAGATCTAATAGCCTCATACAGATGAGCATAAGCCAGTTCAAATGGCAGCTGGAGACATATGATACTCAGAATCACGATGGCATCATTTCTGAATCTCATCAGATGTCCAAACCATTCTTCTCTTTGGAAAACCTCTTTCTCTTTTGATTTCTCCATCCCCCATCTCCTCATGAGTTCCACAGGGGACTGGAAGGATCTCCACTCCATTTCCAAAAATTTATATCCAGGTTCTGTTTCAACTGGATAATTAATCTGCCACCTACACTACCCAATTAACCAAATAAAAAGAAGAAAGAAAAATGAAATTGAAGAAATAAAAAACAGAACGAGAAAGTAGCAATAAAGAAATACAAGGAAAAGCTTGGTTATATCGGATTACTGCCAGCCAAGAATCGAAATTTCATTTCGGTGCATAGTTTCGGTGAGCTTGGAAACGGAAGCATTTCGGTAATCTTTCAGAAATATTTCGGAAACAAGATGGAAACAAAGAAAGAGATGAAAATTTATTTCCGAAACATTGGTCGAAACATAGGTCAAAACACCTCAAAAATAGGAATTTTGATATTCAATTAATGATTCGTTTCGGTTTCCATGAAAACGGAAACATTTTGGATGTTTCAAAATGAAAGTTAATTCCTTGCTGACAGCATTTTTTTACTTTTTAATTTGTTTGATTACCAAACAAAGGGTAACCAAGTAGTCTTGAATACTGATGTCATACAGAATTACCTGGCTAAAAGAACAGAGTTTTGACGNGAAACGGAAACATTTTGGATGTTTCAAAACGAAAGTTAATTCCTTGCTGACAGCATTTTTTTACTTTTTAATTTGTTTGATTACCAAACAAAGGGTAACCAAGCAGTCTTGAATACTGATGTCATACAGAATTACCTGGCTAAAAGAACAGAGTTTTGACGCTTCCAGAATTGGAGAAATAATACAGCCCATGATATAACGCTTATAAAGAAAACAGGAAGAACCAAAAACTGCATTGATCTGAAGAAAAGCAATAATCAAGTACAGAAATTATTCAATAAAATACGTAGGCAACATTCACAAACTTTCATCAGAATGCACATGGAAAGCTAAGTGGCCTACCTGAAATCAACCAACTGCAAGGTAAGCCCAAATGCAGCTGGAAATAACATCCATCGGGTGTACATCCCAAGGAAATCAAAATAAGTTGCTATCTACATGCACATTACACCGTACGAAGATTAACTAACAACCATGAACGTGAAATTATTGGAAACATTAATTTTGTCTGTAAGTTGAAATTGGAATTGAGCTATTATACATGAATACAGTTTTCAAATGCAAGAAATTCAAGTGAACACTTACCTTCATCCCAAAATATGAACAGATCTCATCAATAGGCTGATTTGTGAAGTCCCTCCATTTCAGAGCCCAACTTCTTAGAAGCTGCTTCCTCTTTGTTTCATCTGTGCACCAAAAATTATCTTACATTACACTTTCTCAGGATCAGAGTAAGTGTAACACGTGAGAGCTAGCCTACCGTGTAAAGGAAAGACTTCTTTAACAATGCCATCGGATTGCAATTTCCGAAGTAGAGGTTCTTTTGGCTCCCAGCGGACCTCTTTGCTATTAGACTTTAATGTTACAACGAACTTGCTCTTATTCACCTGCAAAATTTTTTTTTAATATGAATTCATTAAGGGATAGGAATTTGAATTTACCCAAAAACTATCAGTGAATGACATGAAACGCATAATATGATGTTAGTTATACCAGCATAGTTGTTTATTCCCTGTATGTTTGCATACAAATAGACACAGGGATATAAATAGACACTTGCATACTTATGTAAGGAAGTAGAGTTTTTGTCTACGTTTACAAACACTCTTAAGAAACGAGAAAACAAAAGATTTTAACCATGGTAAGTGTTTTGATTGAGAAAATCTGAGGGTTTCTGTGAAGGATGAGGAAATTGGAGAAATAGGGAGAAGTTATCTTGGGATATAGTCACGTGAACATGATGTGGCTCATAAAATCAAAACAGATTGCCTTAAGGCCACTATGCTGTTTGGGACAGAATATCAGCCACTATGAAACAACACATTCACAAAATAGATTCGCAAAAATGAGGATGTAAAGAAGGATTTAGGGCTAACTGAAAGAAAAAAAATAGACGAAATAGACGTGCAAGGATAAAGGACAGACCAAAATTGATATGAAATGAGCAAGTGAAGGATGATACAGTTGCTTGTAATTTAACTAAACATATAGCTCTTGACAGATCCGGATGACGAAAATTTAATGATGTCGCCCGTTGGTTGTTACCTGCGTTAACAAAACTAATTCTAAATTGCAAGAAGAATCAAACTAAGTAAAAGGAGATAGACAATAGTCAACTCCTAGAGAATCCAATTAGTCGGATACATAAATCAATTGTAACAGTGCCACTACACATGAGGTGGCTACATGTTCCACCTTTTCTCTAAGTGGCCGTCTATACAACAATATGTTACAAAGATTGTCATAGCAAGGATAATTAGTATGAAAATGAAGAAAGAAGAACCATAGGGAATATAGATAACTCACAATCCCGTTTATTATGCGCTGGTAGCTGTGGAAACGCTCACACCAACTAAACAATGAACCATCAGGTTGCCTGACAAAGGCTTCAGCCCCATCCCACTCAAACTGTAAATCCACTCCTGTATCAAGATAAAATACTCAGTAAACAAAATTACTACCTCTTTATCAGTGCAAACGGTGGGATACCATCAGGGTTGGTAGACAATCACACATGCGCACACACACGCACAGAGAAGTGAAACATTGCAAGAAAAGTAAAACAGGAACTGTGTTATTATCACCAATGTGGGTTCTTTTTTTCAATTGCAACTCAGCTGCAGCTTTCCCCAAAGTCTCCAAAGGCGCTGCCAACTGAAAAATAATTAATTATGAAAGGGATGAATAAACAAACAATGTCAATGTAGGATCTGACTCAGCAGCCTTTTGCATCCAATTTTCATTAGAATTTTTCAATAGAAAGAAAGAAAAAAAATAAATAAGAACAGTATAATTAGTCTAATTATACAGAACTCATCAGCAAAATACAAGGAAGAATTCATTAAAAATTTATATTGTAGCATCGGTTGAAGAAGACATCAAATATAAGTTGGGCGGAATGAATATAAAAACCTTCATACTTGAACCATAATCCATGAATCACTTAGAGCTAAAGAGTTCACCTATAAGCAGTTATTTCTTATCATAGATAGGATTTTGTGTGCAATGTACAAATACAAAATCAATTTCATATGTGAAAATCTCAAAGGATAAATCAAAGCCAAGAGGATAAAAGTTTAACCTTGATAAATTCATCATTCAGGCCAACAACTCTATCAACTATTAGTCCCGCCTTCCTGAACTCATCGACCAGAACCTCCACACAATCATATTTCTCATCCTCTTGTTCCACAGCTTTCTTTGGAACTACGAACCCTATCTCAAAAGCAGTTTGTTCTTCCCCTCCATGCCCATTCATTTCCAGCCTCTCCCACCCACCAACCCACCTCACACCCCTTGACAAGAAAACCCAAAAGAGAAGTTNGTCTTTGATGTGATATCATACGCCACGCGTCCGTCCCCTATTGGCTGTGACCCCTGTATTCCAGTACGTTCTGACACTAATTGTATAAGACGAGGTCATGATGAATAGCTTAGACTAGCCTAGGCTAATGACCTATACGTCAATAGCTTATCCTGGAGTAGAGGAAGNCGATGAAGAGAGAGATGGGTTACCACGAAGTTTGGGCCAACTGCTGAATTAATACATTATCAATGGTGGAAATGGAATACATGTGTGTGGATTGTTGGGTTGTAAAAAGCTGCATATTCCTTTTAACTTTGGCTGTTGGTTCGACGTCTCCCATTGCAGGCTGAACTTTAGAGGAATAGATGGCTGAGACCTGTGATCAGGCACCCAAGAACCAAAGGGGACCATCCGGCCATGGCTTTATTTATCACAGAAGACATTCCTCACAGACTACTCCCATGGATCCCTTGGGAGGGATTTTCTAATAAATTTCCTTCATAAATATTTTTTAGGGCTAATCACTTTGAACGCCGAAAGATCCTTCAATTTTTAAATTACACCATCAATGTGATAAATTGATAACAACTAGACCTGATCCAGATTGTTATATAATTTTTTGATATAAATTAAAATATGATAGGTGTAAATGTTTCGGGCTCGAGGATTGAGTATGCCTATCACTATAAATTTTTGTTTTCGAAGAATTTAACACTATTTTATGTATTAAAAATAAGGTTTTTAAATCAGATAGAGATTAGTTCTATCATGTACAACTTACACGAGGCGATTGTTATGTGAATTAACACGTAAGTTCATATTTGAAACACTTGTAATTCACGTATTTTAATATATAATGAAAAATGAACAGAGTCTAGTGAGGTTCATATTACTATTAATTCATAATTGGGTATAAATTAAAATTTTTAATGTTTGAGGGTATAAATTAAAAATTAAAATATTATTTGAGATGCAAAGTGAGATTAGTCTTTTTTTTTTTAATATATCATATATATATTTATAATATAAAATAAAATAAGTTTTAATAAGTTCATTCAACGGTCTCAAATAAATTTAGTCATCAACATTTTTTTCAAAATCATTCATGTTACATTGTACCTTCAGACATGAGTTACCCCTAGTAAATGAATAAGAGATAAATTAAAATATTCAAAAATTCTACTTCTCAACTTAAAATATTTTTCTTAAAACGGTATCTGTCCACATTAAAAACTATGTAAGGTGTATAAATGAAAAAACTACAAATTTATCTTCGGGATATAATAAAGCCTAAACTTATTTGCATATTGAACTAATGAATACAATACTGGAATACCTTAGGAAAAATCAAATACCAATAACTGGAATTCTAGGCCCTGTTTAGATTCTGTTTCAAAAACATGTTTTTGGTTTTTGGGTTCTAAAAATGAGCAAAAACGTGATGTTATTGTATAGTGAATCTCTTTTAAGAATTCGAAGTAGATTTAAGTTTTTGAAAATCACCTATTTTAATTTTTTCTTAGTTGAATAATTTGAAAGCATAAAATACATAATCCTAATTTTACTAAGAATGCCTTTAAATTTACTTCTTAATGTTAAATACATTCGTTTGTGGTTGTTAATTTGCTTCTTAATGTATTGTTGGCTGTGACCTATATGTTTGCTACATAACGAGGAAAATAGTACTTGGCAAAGAAAAACAACAAAAATTAACAGGTGAAACAATTTCAATCAGAAATGATTGAATTGTTTTTAAACCATCCCAAATCTTGGACCGAAGAAGAAAAAGAAATTGAAGAAAAAATATGAAGTCAAAGATTAACCGGATATAGTTGAATGTTGAGAGTTTATTGCATATATCCATACTTTGACTAGTCAATTTTTGAAATGTAATTGAAGGTTCCAATTTTAAGATTTCAATTTTTGGGTTTGAATAACACTTTTATTAATGTTCAATTATTCTAGCTTATGTATTTGGTGAGACTTTATATGAGGCTACTATTTAATGCCATTGTTTTTTAAAAACTCTATTTCCTGTTACTATTTATTCCCACTATTTAGTATCAATATTTCCTATCACTATTTCAAATGGTACAAGTTGTATCGATTCATAGTGTTGAAACATATTTGACCCAAACATTTATGGCGTCGCTCCTTAGGAACACTATTTGGTACATAAATTAATAAGCATAATATTTTTCTAAATTTAAGCATAATATTTCATATTCCCCATTTTTCTAAGGATCTTTTGTTTATAGTGTCTATATTTTGCATTAATTTATTTTTCCTATTTCTTGTCTCCTTTGGTGACATTATGTGCACGACAATGTTTTGAGTATCTCTTTTGGTGCAACTCTATGATGACAATATATTATTATTATTTGGGGTCAATCTATTGTTATTACTCTTTAGTGACACTATTTGGGCACTATTAATGGACATTATATNAAACACTATTTGGTACATAAATTAATAAGCATAATATTTTTTTAAATTTAAGCATAATATTTCATATTCCCAATTTTTCTAAGGATCTTTTGTTTATAGTGTCTATATTTTGCATTAATTTATTTTTCCTATTTCTTGTCTCCTTTGGTGACATTATGTGCACGACAATGTTTTGAGTATCTCTTTTGGTGCAACTCTATGATGACAATATATNATTAGGGAACATTATATGATGTCACTAATTGGTGCCTATTCTCACTATCTCCTATCACTCTTTGGTGAGACTATTTGCATACCAATATCTCGTGTCTCTCTTTTGCTGTCATTCTTTGATAACAACATATATTGCCATTATTTGGAGTCAATCTATTATAATCACTCTTTAGTGACACTATTTTAGCACTACTAAGGGGCATTATATGATCTCACTGATTGGTGTCCATTCTTAATTCTTCTCTCCCTCTTTAGTGANGTTAGAGAACATTATATAATGTCACTAATTGGTGCCTATTCTCACTATCTCCTATCACTCTTTGGTGAGACTATTTGCATAGCAATATCTCGTGTCTCTCTTTTGCTGTCATTCTTTGATGACAACATATATTGCCATTAGTTGGAGTCAATCTATTATAATCACTCTTTAGTGACACTATTTTAGTACTACTAAGGGGTATTATATGATCTCACTGATTGGTGTCCATTCTTAATTCTTCTCTCCCTCTTTAGTGACATTACTTGAAGCATCATTGCACACATACACCCTAAATTCAATATGATTGACATTAATAAAATGTACTAACTTAAACATATTCTTCATATCATCATCATTTCGTAAGGAACAATTCGGATGGCCTGGAATTGAATAGTAAGTGGTGTGTTTACTAGTTTGGCATGAAGCAGACCACTCTTGCTTAGAAGATCAATAATATACTTAGATTGTGAGATACAACAAAATTCCAGGTAACAGTAATACCAAGGAAATGATGTACGTCCAAGCTAGTCACGAAAATTTAGAATTGAGCGAAGAAGTAACAAAATTTAACAAGGACTGAGAAGATGTCATGAGGAGAATGCCATTGACATATAATAGTAAAACAACCATGTTTGTGGCGACGCTGTAGATGAACATGGAANCTGTGAGATACAACAAAATTCGAGGTAACAGTAATACCAAGGAAATGATGTACGTGGTCCAAGCTAGTCATGAAAATTTAGAATTGAGCGAAGAATTAACGAAATTTAACAAGGACTAAGAAGATGTCATGAGGAGAATGCCATTGACATATAATAGTAAAACAACCATGTTTGTGGCGACGCTGTAGATGAACATGGAAGAATCAGAGCGAATACACCGAAAACCTTGGTGATACAAGAAATAGGTAGGGTGAAAAAAACCTTTGCGTTGCTTCATGCATACTTTTCGGTAAGTGATCCCTACAATAATGCGTCCTTAACGTCGAGTTGATGGATTGGTCAACCACGAGACAAAGCAAGAGACAAAATGGTGCGGATGGTTGTGGCTTTAACAACTGGGCTATAAGTTTTATCATAATCAATATCGTGTTGTGGAGTAAAGTCCTGAGCAACAAAACGAACCTTGTAACGCTCTAAAGAACCATTAGATTGTTGTTTAACCTTATAGATCCATTTGGATCTTATGAGGTTTGTAGAAGGCGGCAAAGGGACCAAAGACCAAGTGTGATTTTGAAGTACGGCGTTGTACTCCTCAAGCATGGCTTGATGCTAATTAAAAGTGTCAATTTTTGACACAACACGATAACTCGACACGAGTACGACATAAAAAAATAAGTTTAGGTTGATTATTTTTTGGCACAAACCTGTTTATGACATGACTCATAACACGAAGTATTAATGAGTTGTATTCGAATTCAATCCCTTCAACTTGAAATTGACTCGATTGACTAAGTAATGTTATACTGACCAAATTTTAGTATTAAATTTAGAGTTTAAATGACATGATAGTTGTCATGCGCTTTTTTATTTGATGTCATGTCATTTGAACCCAAATAAAGATTCTAAATAATATGTTGTCATGTCATTTGAACTCTAAATTTAGTCTCAAAATTTAATCAATGTAACATTACTGGTGTATTTAATCGAGTTGACACAAACCCACCCACTTAACCGGTTTGGACCCGAAATTCACCCGACACTGTATAAAAAAAGTTTTTTTATCCTAACCCTAACTTCACATTTTCACTTCACAAGTTCCCATTTTCACTTCAGATGCCCGCATCTCTGCTCCCTCTGTAGGTCTCCCTCCCTTACCTATTGGCTTGGAATCTCTCACTGTTGGTGACCACCACTACAAATCACTCACCACCAGTCATCACCGCTACCATAAACCATTGTGAATCACTCCCCACCAGGCATCACCGCTAGATATAACTCGATTGTCCAAGTAAATAAGGAAATTTCAGTATTTCACTCTCAGCTCTCTCTTTCTCTCTCTACTCTGAATCTTTCACTTTCAAACAAGACCAAGACGANCGAGACAAAGCAAGAGA